ATTTTTGTACTTTTTTTACTATAAAAGGAAAAATTAACAATTATTACTCAATTTTATTAAAACTCATGTCCGATTAAATGAGCACATATTTGCATGACGGAGGAATATTAAGGTACTTCACAAATAAAAGTATCAACAAAGTACGGTGATTATTAAATAGAATTCTCTATTATTAATTATTATTTTACTTTTTAAATGAATTGTACAAAAATATCACATCAAAATATTAATATTTAAACAAAAATATAATAAATATTTTATTTTAAATTAAATTTAAATTACAATAAAACAAACAAAGAGTGTTTTTGTTTGGTATTTTGATTTAATTTTTTTTTATGTAAAATAGAATTGTGTAGGTAATATAAAAATAATGAAAATATATAATATATTAATTTTTAGGAGAAAAAATGTGTTGGGTAATATACATGATTCTTCATAAATATTACTGAAAAAATACAATATCAAATATATTAACACAATATATATATATATATATATATATTATATCCACTCATGAAAAAACACCAATTCATACAAAATATTCTCTCTGTCTCATATAATATGGATGTATTCCTGTAAATGCGGGAATTTAGATAAAATATAATTAATGGATGTGTTCGTTTGATGGATTTTTCTTTCCAAAAATATCAAATCAAATATTTATTTTTTATTTTTTATATTATACTAAAAATTAATTTTACATTCAAAATATCACATCAATTCTTATTTATATCACATCATATAATTATTCAAATTCAAAATTTTTACTATTCAAATCTCAATCCAAAATCCAATCCCTCGAACAAACACACCTAATAAGTATTTAACAAGTGTATTACTATAAATAATTATTGTACAGTAAAAATAATTATAAATTAAGATTAAGATAACTAAATAATTTAATTAAAATTAAAAAATTTAAAATGTAAAATATAATTAAAGTGTATAATTATATTTGTAAAAAAAAAGAAAAAAAAATATGCAGAACAAATGAAAATAAAAAAATAGAGACAAATTATATTGAATAAAAAAAATTATTTTTTATATTATCAACACAATTTCTCATGTGTAACCGGTTAACCTAGAAAACACATTCATCACAAAGTATAAAAGTAAATAAACTCTCTATTTTTATAACAAAACTGCATATATTGTGCACTTAAATGGCACTTGAAATAAAATGATTCTCATAGTCTTATTACAATTTATTTTTTGTAAATAGTTCACAAGTATGCTCATAAAAATTGTTTTGTTTTCTATAAAATGTAAAAATATTGACCCGATTCTTTATATTTTATATAAAAAAAAATATAAATTAAAACAAAGCAATTAACAAAAATCCTATTTATATTTTTCAATAAAACTAATGAAGTAGCAATTGCAAACAAAAATAATTTTGTGTAGACTTTAATATTATAATAATTTTTTAATATTTATGTCCAACCAAAATTACATAACTTTTCCGAACGGAAAGTATATGTTTTTGTTTAAAACTATAAAAATTGATTAAAAACAAAAAAACAAAAAAACTCAAATGTATTTATCTTTTTCATAAAATAATGGATGCTTTTATTATTATTATTATTATTATTATTATTATTATTATTATTATTATTATTATTATTATTATTATTATATCATATGTCTAAGGTTTTTATTTTTTATATTTTTTTTTATGAAAAAATACGTTAGTAATATAAAATAATAAGGGGTGTCAAAATTAAACTCAATTCGAAAAATCGAACTTGTTCAATTCAAAATTTTTCAAGTTCAAATTTGAGTGTTTCGGATTTGCAAAATCTCGAACTCTTTCCGTTTGAAAGAGTTATGTAATTTTGCTACTTCAGCTAGTCTTATTGAAAAATATAAATTGGGTTTTATATCTTATCACATACAAAAGAAAACAAACTATCTAACTCACTAAGAAAAGAAAAACACAAGGGTTTGTCTATATAGTTAAATTGTTTGAAATTTTTTTTTTTTTTTTTACGTGAAATATAAATAATATAAAAATAATGAATGATTATTATGTTAATCTTTTTAAAAAATGTATTCTGAGGAATTGTAATTTTCACTAGGCTAAAGTGCACAAAACTCATGTGTGCACAAAACTCATGTGTAATTTTATGAAATTGCACAAAAATTTTTTATACTTTAATTTTGTTTTATTTGCATGCACTCAAAATGTAAATAATTTTTAAAATTTTCATTTATAAACCTTTTAACTTACAAATATATACTCATTATTTTGATTATTTAACTTAAAAAATAGTAAATAAAAATAGTTGTTTTTTTCTAGTTTTTTTTTTTTAAATATTAATGTTTTTTAGCTTGAATATAAAAGAATATATTTATAATTTTAGGAGTTTAGAAATTAGTATTATGAAATTCATTCGTAATTTGAGAACGTGTAAATCAAGGATGGTCGAGGGGATTAGACACAAAACTTATAAAATCATAAGAGAGTTTGTCACAGTTTTAAAAATATGAGAGTTTCGTGCAATTTTGTAAAATTACATGTAAATTTTATGCAATTTAGCATTTTTCACTAAAAGAACACGCACAAGTAAATAACAAACACAACTTTAGTAATTGAAATAAATAATTTTTCCTTTTCAATTGAAAATAAGCTTTTATTATTTTTGTTTATTTTACTCAATTTTTAACTTTTTATACCAATACCAAAATACCTATTAATTTTTATATAAATTACAAATATATAACTCTCTCCGTCTCATATCTATGTATCTATTTATTTTTTGCACGGAGTTTTAGAAATATTAGTATTATACTAAAATATAGTAAGAATAAAGTAGACATGACTAAAATAACCTTATCAGTACTGTGTGATATAAAAGGTAGTGACATTTACGTAAGATATTGTACGTTCAAAGGGTATTTGTAATGCTACATATATATAGTAAAATTACTAAAAATAAAAATAATACTTTGTTATGAAACGGATCAAAATAATAATAAAAAAAATTTATCAAGGGACAAATGAAGTATTATATATACAAAAGATATGACAAAAATGATAAAATTATCTATATACTTTAATCAATAAATAAATTATTATAATTTTTAATCTATTATATAAATGCAAAAATATACTCCATCCGTCCAATTACAAAGTATAAAGTAATTATTTTATTAAATATCCTATTTTTTCTACAAAGACCCCTACTTTACATCACATAATTACTTTTATACCAAAAAAGTAAGGGCAAAAATATTATTTTACTATTTTTACCTACCCACTATAATTAAAATACTATTATTTCTTAATTTCTGCGCTACTTTTAGCTTGGAGGGAGGGAGTATTCGTTTGGAAAGGACTGAATATTAAATTATAAAAATAAAAAAATTGTGTACAATGATTGACGTTTTCATATGTGTTACAAGCACAACCAAACACGACTTTCGTGTTTACTTGGTAAACGAAAAGCGTGATTGTCTTCCCAATCTTCACTCACACCAATCACCCAATTACATTTATTCCCATTTTCATACTATTTATTTAATCATTTATTATTGTTATTTTCAGGAAAACGACAAAGTAAGGAAACAAACAATAAATACGATCGATAGATATCTGACCGTTGGATCAGCAGTGACGCCAGCTGGCAGAGATCCGTTCCGCCACCACCCTAGGCGGGGCCACTTCACGTGCTACCATGCTCCCATCCAGGTGGCATCTCCTGATTAGCTATCCGCCACGCGTCGCCTTTCCTTGGGTGGCGCAACTGTGGACCTGTACAGGTGAATTGCATCCCACACCAAAATTTTTAATGCCTCTGGTAAAGAGACAAGCTGTGAATTTACGTAATTACCCCTCCGAGGTCTCTCGCTTGTCGCTAGTCAGTCACTCTTCCTCGTGATATTACGCTCACCACTCGTCCGACACGTGTCGTGACATGATTGGCGGGTCCATTGATCTCGAAGTTTGTGGTTACAGTTACTTTATTGAGATCATTACTGAAATACACGGGGTTGTGTTTGTGTGGGATTAAGGATTCGGACTTTGAATTTAAATAATAAAAATTTTAAATTAGAATAATAATATGATATGATATAAATAAATATTGATATAATATTTTGAATATAAAATTAATTTTTAATATTTTTTTCATCTCACTTAATTTGTTCATTACTTTTATTTTCATGGACTCACAAAATTTGTTATTTTATTTTTAAAAAATATAATTATATACTTTAATCATATTTTATAATTTATAATTTTTTTATTTAAATCATATTATTTATTTATCTTAATTTTAATTTATAATAATTATATTATTAAATTTTAATTATTTTCATTAATATATTTTTTAATTACTTATTAATTTCACGGTACCTAAAATTTTGACACAGAGAGAGTATTATTTTCTACATTCGCGGATCACATTTACATTTTGAGTTGTTATAATTAGCATAAAAAATATTATTATATTTGTATAATTTTTTTTGTATGAATGTTCTTGTATTAGTATTATAAAATATTAATTAAAGTATTTTTTTAATTTTTTTATAATTTATATTTATATTTATATTTTGATATAATAATTAATATTTAAAAATTAATTCAGAGACATTTAAAATCGAATAAAAATAATATTAAAAATAAATTTTTTATTTGATATTTTTAAAATAAAAAATTTGATAAATAATAAAATTTTGGAAGATTCTCTCGAACAAACGCACCCAGAAACGAAATTGGAGTTTTGGGATTTCTTTTGGGATTTCCCGGAAGGGTAAAATGGTAATTTCACAAAGTAAATAAGAGGGGCGGATTACAGCAATACAGCTAACGTTTATGGTGACTCTCGAGGGGTTTTCTTGGATCTTTACGCGTGATAGATCTGTGCCGTTGTAAGAGTGGGGACTGGAAATATGGACGGTTCAGATTGATGTGGAGTTTGAGGTCCTGGGAGCTGTGGAATTCGAAAGAGCCAGACCTTATCCATTGCCTGCAAGTGACTTTATAAAAAGCAGATCCAAAAACCTCTTTATAAGAACAAAAATAAACCAACAAATTCTTCAGCTTTCGCTCATAACTTCTTCGTTTCCCAACAAACCGACAAATAAATTCGCGCAGGAGAACGGCGATCCAGCGGAGCATCTGAGTAGAAATCGCTGCAACGATCGTGGTTATGGCGGCGTCGAAGAGCTACTACGCTCGAACGAGCAACAGATTCCTTCCGACGGAGCAGTCCTTGCTAAACGAGTCGATGATCTTCGAGCTCGACGAATCGGAGGTTTGGAACTCCACCGCCGTCGCGCAGTCGCCGGAAGTGCGCAAATCGAGCTCCAGAGTCTCCAGGAAGGCGTCGGCGAGAGGAGTACGCGCCGCTCCTTCTTCGCTACCGGTGAACGTACCTGACTGGTCGAAAATACTGAAGAACGAGTACCGAGAGAATCGCCACGGCGGTTGGTACGAGGAGGAGGAGGAGGAGGAGGAGGAGGATTTGGCGGTGGTTGGGAATCGGATTCCGCCGCACGAGTTCCTGGCGAGGCAGATGGCGGCGACGCGGATCGCGTCGGCGTCGGTGCACGAAGGAATCGGTAGGACTCTGAAAGGTAGGGATCTGAGTAGAGTTAGAAACGCGATTTGGCAGAAAACTGGATTTGAGGATTGATTGATTGATTGATTTTGGTGAATCGATTTGAGTTTCTCCTTCGGCTTCAGGTTGTGATTTCGAATTTCTGCTGTTTTGACCTAATTAAGCATCTTTTTGGTTATGAATATGAATGGTATGGTGATAATTTGGGGGTACTGTAGTTTAATTAATTAGTGTAGTGCAGGAAGAACAAAAGCCTCAGTTTTTTGAATTTTGTGTGTAGTGTTGTGATCGATCGAATTGGAGCAATAATGAAGAAATCATTTCATGAGATTGGATTGAATTTTTGCAGATGATGTGGAATTTTCTTGACATTTCTGTTGCTACTACTTGAAAATTCTATTGAGTTATATTGATTTTTATATATATATATATATATTTTGTAAGAATAAAGAATGTATTTTTATTTGACAATGGCAATGGTTTTGTGGATTTAGTGTTGTTTTTTTTGGTATTGGTTTCTATGGTAATTAAAGTCTACTTCTATTTTGTTTCCTAATTTTCTTTTTGTCGGCATTTTTAATACTACCTCCGTTGGCATTATTATTTTTAATATTAAAAATATTTTTATATTTGTATAATTTTTTTTACAAATATTATTACAATAATATTATAAGTCATCAATAAAAGTATTTTTAATTTTTTTTTTCTTAATTTGTACTACGATGCTAAAATGGTAAATGGATAGATTGACTATTGACGAAGATAGCAATTTAATTTTGATAGTTTTTTTCTATTTTATCTTTTTTCTTTAAAAAAAGAAAATTTTATAAATTAAATTTGAAACAATAATTAAAAATATAAAATAGAATTAAAATATGTAATTTTTAAAAAAATAGTCTGTCCCACGTCAAATATTCCTTTTTTATTTAAAAAAATAATTATACACAAGTAAAAAAATATATTTAATTTTTATTTAAATTATAAATATATTATTAAACATACAATTATTTTGTACGAAAAAAATATTAAAAACTTTTATATAGTTTCACTAAGTAATAAAAATATTATTTCATTCGTCCCATATCTATATATTTATTTGTTTTTTTCACAAAATTTTAAAAAATATTAGTATTATATTGGGATAATATAAAAATAAAGGTAAAAAATAAATTAATCCTATTAGTATTGTATGATACAAAGGTAATTATATTTGTATAATATATTGTAAATTTGAAGGATATTTATAATGTTAAGTAAATATCACAATTACTAAAAAAAAAAAAAAGTTAATATTTTGTTATGAAATAGACCAAAATAGAAAAAGAAATAGATTGTCAAGAGACGAAAAAAATATTATTTTTTAATCTACTAAAAAAATCAATTTAAATTAATTATTAGTATAAAAATTTTAGAAGTGTCAGTTGCCTAAAACTTAAGTGACACGTTTACTTTAGATTAAGGAGAAATTAATTGGAACCATTCATTTCATTCAACTCACATAAATTTAAATTATCATGTGGTCCCTACACTTGACCTAAATCAAATTTCTATTGATTGATTAACAATATAATTATAATTGGAAAAATGGCCACCACCCGAAAATATGTTTCGGACATTAAAAAAAATAAATAAATAAAAAATTGTTTAATTGTGATTTGAATTTTAAATTATTACTTCTTCCGTCCAGAAATAAGTATCTAATTACTTTTTGTAGGTAGTTTTAGAAATATTAATATTATATTGGGATATAGTAAGAATAAAGTAGAAATTACTAAAATAACCTTATTAGTATGTGTGATATAAAGGTAATGATATTTGTGTAATATATTGTAAGTTGTAAGGATATTTGTAATGTTAGGTAGATAGTACAGTTACAAAAAGAGAAAATGAATACTTTGTTACGAGACAGACTAAAATGGAAAAATAGATACTTTGTTATGGGACGGAGAAAGTATTATTATTTATTTTGTACAATTTTTAGTGTATGTTTCTTTTGATAGGTTTGCAAAAAAAAAAAAAAAAGTTTGAATTTGATATTAAAATAATATATGATGAAATATTTTGTAAGATGAAAAATTGTAATTTTTTTTTTTAAAAATACATAATTCAAATAGTAAAAATCTGCGATTTTGATGCCAAAAAAACATATCCTTAATAAAATATATACTCCATTTTTTTAATAAAATATTACATTAATTTATTATTTAGATAAAAACTCAAATAACACATTGTATATCCTCTATTGTAATTTTTAAAATAAGAAATAGTCATTTTGATGTGCTTTTTTACTCGAAGCAAATCAACACATCTTGCACGTATTTATTATTTTTATATTACTTACATAATTTTTTATATTTTATATAATTTTCTTTTCAAATCAAAACGCAAACAAACATACAAAATATTTTTATATTTATATCAATTTCGGACAAAAAAAAGTATTTTTATACATATTTTATTTTATACAACATGAATAAAATACGAAATATTTTGTATATATATATTAAAGTATAGGAGTTATTATGCAATTTATCATAAAAAAAATTATTTTATTTTTTAAAATAAAAAATACTACTAGTATATTTTTATATATTTAATATAAAATATTATAGAAATATTTAAAAATTAGAAAATTACCAAAGCTCCAATGGATCGGACGCAGATAGGCTGATTGATCCAGGCCTGGGCCTGTCCGGCCCACTAGCCGGCCAGAAAGTGCGTTTACCTTTAATACCAAAATTTAAATAAAAAAAAATAATAAAAATCATATTTTAAATATATTTTAATTGGGATTACAAATTCCGTTTCTATAAATTGGGGAAAATTGATAGAATTGGGGATTTTGATTCTTTCTAGGGTTTGCGCCGTTGCTGTGGAAAATGATCGAGGTAGTGCTGAACGATCGTCTTGGGAAGAAGGTGCGCGTCAAATGCAACGACGACGACACCATCGGAGACCTGAAGAAGCTCGTCGCCGCGCAGACGGGCACTCGTGCTGACAAGATCAGGATCCAGAAGTGGTACAACATCTACAAGGACCACATCACCCTCAAGGACTACGAGATCCACGACGGAATGGGCCTCGAGCTCTATTACAACTAATTCCTCATCGTCGAGGTGAAGCTTCTAACGCCTTTTCGCTCTCTATCCCGTGCTTGTCTTTCACCGTTGTTCGATTTTCTGTTTTATCTGCGCGAACGGTCTTTGATTGTTCCTTTATCTGTTAAATTTAGAGCTACGTTTGTTGAAGACGACTCGATTGAGGTTTTCGTTTCTGCAATTAAATAGTGGTTTTTCTTTTTTCTTTTTTTTTTTTTTTTAATTATTTTTAAAATGAATTTGGACGAATATTCGTTTGGTTTTTGTTCTCAATAGTTACCGATTGGACTTAGTTTTTCTTTTTTTTAGTTGAAGTTTTATTTACAGTATAAATAGATTTAATGTGATTTATGATTATCCATTGTCATCTAGCTATGAACTATATATTAGGGTTATGAGCCGCAGTCTGTGATGGTGATTTAAATATTTGGTTGCAATAGTTATGGAGGAGAAAAGGAATGGTGAAATTTAGGACAGAGTTCGGCTTTGGAATCTCTTGTATTCTACCCTTAGACTATTTCTAAGGCTGTATTATTGTTGATTTAGACCTTTCAATAACTCAACTATACTAGGACCGGTTAGAATCCGCAGCCGATAGTTCTTTTTGTTTCGAATAATACAAAAACTATTATAGGAATAAAAAATCTTTATACAAAAAAATGTAATTACATGGTTGATAATGGCGAATGATGTGGAATGGTGAATTATGGAGAAGGGTTCAGCTTTGGAACCTCTTCTATTTAAAGCCTCAACTATCTCTAAGGCTTTATTATTGCTGATGGAGAGCTTTCAAGAAAAACTAGGATGGGTTAGAATCCACAATTGATAGTTCTTTTTGTCAAGAATAATGCAAAACTATTATAGGAATTAAAAACCTTTATGCAAAAAAATGTAATGGCGAATGATTTGGTGCAATGCGAACGCGTAATGGATCCTTGCACATGTTGTTACACATCGCCATATCAAAGCACAATACTCATAAAAAATTATACGTGTAAATGATAGGGTGACTAGTTTCTTCTATTCCGTATTGCCGTCATGAAACCCTAGATAAGATTCATGGGACCTCCTTAATCGAAGAAACACAAATTTTTGGTTTAGGGTTGGGATCTGCAGTATTACATTGAGAGGCAATATATATGATCACTATTGCATTAGTGAGAAGTAAGTTTGTTTGTTTTGATCAATTTATTACTTCCTCCGTCCACAAAAAGTGTGATAAAAGCTTATGGGCATGGTGATGAGAGAAATATTACTTCAATGCTGTTTTTATATTTCTTAGGGGTAAAATTGGAAGTTTATTGTCGGTAGTAATGTAACTTTTGGATTAAAACAGACTGAGGGTAAGAAATATGTGGGGTCTCTCGGTGGGTAGAAATTTAAAAAAGATTGATTTTTTTTTTTTTACTAAATACTCCTTCTGTTCAATTTCTATGTCCTAAAGTATTTGCACGGTTTTTTAGGTGATTGTCTTTTTGTTATGAATTGACAAATTTGCCCTTAATTGTATATAGTAGAGATAAAAAGTAATAAATGAATGAAGGGTAAAAATGTAAAATTTGTGTTATGATATGAGCACACTTTTTGGTGTACAAACTAAAATGGTGAAACAAGCACAGTTTTTGTTGACCATTATAGTTTTCGGCACTTTCTTAGGTCTTCTCTAATAAACTTGCACTACATGTTCATGTTATAACTTATTCGACATTGTATGTCAATGTGTGCCCACTACTTGGAATCAGCTTGCTCCCTTAAGGACCCTCTCGGTTTTTAAATAAACTTATTTTATTTTTTTCAACTGCTACGTGTAGGTTGATCGAGGATGCACGGGAGGGAATGCTGGAAATACTTATGTGTCAATACCTATATATAAGTCCATTCGTCTCTGTGAAACTATGTGGAGGTTTGTGAACTGAACTGTAAGACAGCTTTTCTTTACTCATCGCACAATCAGTGAAACTATGTCTCGTATGTATGGGTCTTATCTTAATTGTGATGCGGACATTGCACGTTACCTGATGTTTGCATAAGCATGGCGTTTCGATGAAATTTCTTGAGCGTCTTTATAAAGCATAGCTTTATACCTCAAAGCGAATATGTGCTGTCTATGATTAAATTACCGATGGCTTATTATACTCGTGTGTGCGCTATGAGTAAATCTATGATCGAATTTAATAGTTTGCAAATTAATTAAGGCAGTGCATTAGGCGAATTATATGTAACCGACCAAATAGTATTCTTTATGGGACTAATGAATAGTGTTTAAGAAACTTTTGAAATTATCAATGTTCAGCTGGCTAACAAACATTTAGAAATAGAATATACTTTGGAATCTTTTAATTTTATCTCTAATAAATAAATACTATATTTATATATTAAAATTTTTCTATTTTTATTCCTAGTATATATATTTTTATCTTCTACGAATTGAAATCCAAACGTATTCAGTCAAATATAAAATTATTTTAATTAAATATATTTATATATATGTATATATTACAGTAATTAATTAAATAACATCCCAAATTGGATCGAAACTAAAGAAACCCTAAATAAACATTAATTTTAAAATATTTTAAGTTAGGGAGGCACTACCGCGAAAGTGCCTTGTTTGTTTGGTGGTTAAAATTTTGAATTTGAATAATTGTATGATGTGATATAGACGTTTATGTGATGTTTTGAATGTAAAATTAATTTTTAGTATAATAAAATGAAAAATAGGTGTTTGATTTGATGTTTTTTGGGAAAAAAAAATTGGATGAATAGTAGAAATTAATCTAATTAACACATAATACTTAAATACATATTCCGTCTACAAACTAATGTCCTACTTTCCTATTTGGGACTGTCCTACTTTCCTATTTGGGACGTTCAACAACTATTGTCCTATTTTCGTTTTTAAACACAAATTTTATATTTTTACCCTTCATTAATTTATTACTTTTAATCTAATGGCAAATTTGTCAAAAATCGTGCAAATATACACACATGTATGTAAAAAAAAAATATATTTTCTTTCTCATAAAATATTCATTCAAATATTATTTTCACATCAAATTCAAATTAAAAATTTTTCAAACTTATCAAAAGAAAGTCGGTGTGTCCACTTTGTTTAGGGCAAAGAAAAAGGCTCGAAATTATTGAGCCATTAGGTTTTTTTTTTTGAAGTGCTCAAAATTTAAATTAATAAGTAATTAAAAAATATATTAATAAAAAAAATTATTATTTAATAAAAAATTATAAATTAAATTAAAATAAATAAATAGTTTAATTAAAATTAAAAAAAATTATAAAATCTAAAATTTTGATAATTATATTTAAAAAAAAATGACAAGTTACTTAAAAACGAAAGAAAATAAGAAATAAGATAAATTATGTGGAAAGAGAGAATGGGTATTATAGAAATATATATATTATATTTTTTAAACAATGTCTATTAAAAATTATGTAAGCAAATGTTTTATAAAAGAAATGGTTGCTTGAAATTATACCATAACAAAAATAAAATAAAAAAAAACTATCAAATTATACCATAACAAAAATAAAAAAAATAAAAAACCATCAAGTGTAAAAATTAAATATAATATAAAATAATTTCAAATAAAAAATTGATACCTATGTTTGAAATATTTACCCAAAAAAAATTAAAAATAAAAATAAAAATAAAACCCTTTTCTGTTTTTCTTAAACGGAGAAAAAGTAAAAGACGAGTGCCGACCGCCCAACACAGCAGTCTTTACTGGTCAAAGTAAGGTATATCTTTTGATGTAGAATGTACAATCATTCCAAGCATCCAATTCATCTGCTAACGTGCGCGTCATTGTGAGAACAAAGCAAAGCAGAGCAGCAATCCAATTCAATCCAATCCTCATTTTTATATGTGATAAACATTCTCATTCAAATCGAACAAAACATCGTCAATCTCTTTCCATTAAATTCCGGCACGAAATTTCTGCCTCCGTATCCACACACGTATGTATTTTGTACGTATGTGGCAATAATTGCGTGGGATTTTGGTAAATAGCCGTTGTAACAATTGCTTAGTGTTTAAGGAAAGTGAAAAAAAAAAGGCATACAGGCGACGGGGAAAGCGGCTGCTGAGGAAAGGAAAGGGAAGGGACACGAAAAGGGGAAGCTTTTCTTCATCGGAAAATGGTGGCGCCGCCGTGGAGGGTTGCGGTGGTGGTGGTGCCGCTAATTTTGGCGGTGGTTGGGGGAGAAGGGAAGAGTTTGGTACTGAGTCTGGACCGGGCGAGTCGGGCCGGGCTCGGAGTGACTCAACTCGGGCAGCTCGACCGAGTCAGGCACGGGAGGTTATTGCAGCAACAGCCTATGGGGGTTGTTGATTTCCCTGTCAAAGGCACATACGATCCTTTTCTTGTTGGGTATATGTTTCTGATTTTATTTTGAAATTTGTTTATGGAGATTTTACAAGGATATTATGCATAAGTATGGTGATTTTAATTTGTTTTTCTGGCTGGATTTGAATGAATGAATAATTTTCAAGTCAAAAAGCTTGATTCTATAATGGGTATGGAGTTATTCCCCCAAGAGAATTTGTTCCTTTGTGTGGGAGAGAATGGTGCAAAGAAATCTTGATTTTTAAAAGTATCTTATTCTTAATGAATCTCTTTTTACTTTTGAATTAATTTGGTAACTCTGTGGATGCCTTTGTTTAGATTAGGATTTGGGTGTGTGGAATCAAGTCTATTTTTGTTGGTTGGATTAGTGATGAGTAATTAAATTTGTTCGATTTGATGTAAAGTACTATAGAATAGTATGATTGTATGGTTTATCTCTTTTTTCTTTTGGTTATAAGATTGAGGTTGTAGTTTTGGGTGAAAGCTGCTTATGAGTAAAATTGGATTTGAAAACGACGAAATGATTGGATGTTGAGCTTCTTATGTTTTTTAAGAAATGAGAAAATAATTTTTGGAAATGGTTTCGAAGATTGAAAGGTAGATTGTAATTAGTATTCACTTCCTGAAATTTATTGAGGTGGTAAAATCTTATTTTTATAGGCTGTACTATACAAGAGTCAAATTGGGGAGTCCACCGAAAGAATTTTACGTGCAGATAGATACCGGGAGTGATGTCTTATGGGTCAGTTGTAATCCCTGCAACGGTTGCCCAACTTCAAGTGGACTTCAAGTATAACATCATCCTTGCAAATTTCTTTCTAGTTACTTTTCGTCTTCTATTTGGACATTTTCTAGATGATTTTTGCAGTACTGAATTGCTTCTTTTGACAGATAGATATGGAGTTTTTTGACCCTTCCAGTTCACAGACAGTCTCAGCTATTTCATGTTCTGACCAAAAATGTTCCCTAGGAACACAATCTTCCGATTCTGGTTGTAACGATCAAAATCAGTGTGGATACACATTCCAGTATGGTGATGGAAGTGGGACATCCGGATATTACGTATCCGACACCATTTACTTTGATTCTGTCGTAGGGAATTCATTGACAACAAATTCTTCAGCGAATGTTGTATTTGGGTAAGTTCTTTTTTTTCGTATTCAATACATCGTTGGTCATGAATTTCTATACCTTCATCTGATTAGTTTTCTTAACTATCCTCTGTGTTCTTTTTTTGATCTTTTGGACAGTTGTAGCACATCGCAGTCCGGGGGCCTTACCAAGCCGGACAGAGCAGTTGACGGCATCCTAGGTTTTGGACAGCAGGGATTGTCTGTGATTTCACAACTTTCTTCCCAAGGGATCGCCCCAAATGCCTTTTCTCATTGCTTGAGAGGAGAAAATGGTGGCGGTGGTATTTTGGTGCTCGGTGCCATAGTGGAGCCTAACATGGTTTACACTCCACTTGTTCCTTCTCAGTATGTATTTTACGTTTTCCAGCTTTTGTTGCTTGTTAATTTAGTTTTCTATGCGTTTTACATGTTTCTTCTAGATGCCACTTTACGAATGTAAGCTATGGTTTAGTTAGTTTGAATGACGTGCCGGTTGTGTTCCTTCTTTTATCATCCCGTCTTGACTTGGTTGAGGTTTTCTTGGTAGAATGGAAGTTTTTTCATTATTAATATTGCGGACTAAGAAATATTGTATCTCGAGATTCATTTTGGTCTAGTTGTATTCACGGAGGAAAGCTCTTTATACTTTAGGAGTGATTTTTTATGGATTTCTTTCCATTGGTGAGGATAAAATTTGGCCCATAGCAATAACTTGATGTAATTTTTCACTAAGGATTTGGGTGTCTTGAAACTCAAGGTTATAGCTTAATAGTTTTCCTTTCCGAGTTAGTGTTTTCTGGGATGGAGATGTATTGTTTATAAAGTGGCTTGTTAATCTTGGCTGCTTTGTTTCAGGATGCCTTTGAAAATGCTCATTGTAGAGGTCAATTTTTCTTTTCATTTCCTTGTGGAATTAAATTTTGGGATGTTCCCTTCATTTGGTTCATGTGCATTTTGTTATGCACTTTGTGTATTTTTCGAAAATGCTGTTACTCTATTTCAGTGCATTGAATATTTTGTAGATCCAGCTTAATGAATTCCATCTGTTTCTGAATTCGTAGGATGCACTACAATGTGAACCTACAAAGTATTTCTGTGAATGGGCAGACACTAAACATCGATTCATCAGTGTTTTCTACCTCAGAGAACCGAGGAACAATAATTGATTCTGGAACAACATTGGCATATCTTGCAGAAGAAGCCTATAATACTTTTGTCACTGCAGTAAGTTTTGGCAAAAAAAGTGTCGAATTTTCCATGAGTGCCTGCTGGGGACCATGCATGTTCTTTTGGAGTCGCTCATTTATTTATTTTTAAATCCGTGTTACTTACTTGGGTGCCTTACTCACACCATCATTTTCGCTTTGCAGATTACTCAATCTGTGTCCCAATATGCCCGCCCGATTCTCTCCAAGGGATACCAATGCTATCTAACTACCTCAAGGTTTTCACTTGGATGCAATCTTTGTTTATTCCTCTCATATTTCTGGCTTATTCATTTTATCATTCATCCTCTCCAGTATCTCGGAAATTTTCCCTCCAGTTAGTTTAAACTTTGCTGGTGGTGCATCGATGATATTAAGGCCTCAAGATTATCTTCTGCAGCAGAATTCCATTGTAAGTATTTTAAGTTTCCTCTTCCTATTCAGCTCACTTATTGTTGGGGAAATATGCAAGTTTCAATATAGTTACTGAATCCTTATATACAATGGTTGGTTTGCATAGGGTGGCACTGCAGAATGGTGCATTGGTATTCAGACAATTCACGGTCAACAGATAACAATTTTAGGAGGTATGAAATCGAGTTTATCCTTTTTACTTAGACCATTTACATGAGTTAACTGATACTTTGTGCTGTGTACATTAGTAATTTATGCATATATATGTATTGAGATAATTTCATTAACAGTTGATCATACCAATAGGTATCAGTTTGAACCTATTCAATTTGGAATTAGGGCAGGCTTAAACTTTTCTTCAAGATAGATTTAATCATCTTGGCTTTACCATGATATTGAGGAAAATAGACAGAGAAATGGTGTGTTCCTTTTGTGTTCTGTAGGTTTTGGTTTTTGTTAGTATTTTAGGTGAAATGCTATTTTAGTATAATATAGAAAATAAAAATAGATGTTTTATTTAATGTCTTTTGGGAAATTTTTTATTGGTAAATAATAGAAATATGGGAAAATTTGATAAAAGAACACACCTTACTCCATTCAAGAGTTGAAGGAAAATGATAATAATAATTAAAAGAATGTAACATAAATGCATGAAGGTGCTCTAAATTCTTTGAATACGTAAATTCCAACTAGTTTGGAAGGAATGGATGGTAAGGGTAGAAACTTATATTATGAAGAAATGATCCCATCATTTACTTAAATAAAAAACTGAGTCACGATAACTTGCAAAATTATATATATATTTTCTTCCATTTCTTTTGAACTCTCGTACGAGGAAAAAGTAATTTTATTTTTTTATTTTTGTTTCTCTAAATTCCTAAACATCTTATGTACATTTCTTTTTTTTCTTTTCTTTTCATTTTCCCTTCCAATTCTCTTCTGCATGTTCAAACTAAGCATTAGAGATTGGGTTTTGTTGTATCCGAAAATTCAGATATTTTTAATCTCCAGAAGGCTTGATGAAACTGGTCAGAGAATGGATATAGGTCCCCTAGGATACTATGATACCTCCAAGGTTAAATATAGGTTAAATGAATTGAATAGACTATTCATGTCAACAATGTGTACATTCTTTTTCGGGAGCCCTACTGAAAGAATTCTAAAGTTAAGCGTGCTTACTCTAAAGTAATTTGAGGATGGGTGATCCCTTGGAAAGTTTCCCAAAGTTGACCGAACTATTGATGGGCCTAGCAGTTAACAATCATTGGGGTGCAACGTGGGCGTTGTATTCTAAAGTGGAAGAGGATGTGATACCCCCGGAGTTAAGCCATTGCTTGGCCGACTCCTGTGTGTGAGGTGGTGCCAGGCCATCCGAGGTTGAAAGAACTCTAGAGTAAGTTGATGATGGGTGACCCTTGGGAAGTCTCTCAGTGTGCGCGTGAGTGAGGACAAAGCGCGTTGCAAAAGACTCGTGTTGACTTGTGGGGTCAGTCTAGAATCACGTCATGCTCGACGATTTTCTGCTGACTCCGCGATGCATAGTGTCCTTTGTTGAAGTGCATTTGGGCCGCCACTCCTGTCAGATTTGAGGGTGCCTTGGTGATTTCCATCTTTTCCTTCACGGTTTTGGCACACTGAGACCAGGTTTGTTTGGGCGAACCACCCACTACGTTGACTGGGCCGAGAATGGATCAATATCAATTTTCATATCTAGCTTATCTGCCAATTTGAGTCGCCCTTCTTTGATAGTTCGCTACACAACATTGCGGAAAACTATGCAATTTCCGACTTGATGGGCGTAAATATCATTCCATTTGTAGAACGTCTTGCCCTCTAATTTCTCATATGGTGGAAATTTTTGTCATCCCTTCAGCCTGATCTGATTGCCCCGCAACAAGTATTCGAAGATTTACTCAATTTTGGTGATGTCAAACGAGTAGTGCTGCTGTGGACCGAGACTTCTGTAAAACTGGACGAATGTAGGACTTCCCATGTATGATTTCCGCTAGGCAAGTTTCCTTATTGGTCTTCTAGGTCTGGGTACCCACACTGTATCTCTGATTCCGGATAGCCTATGTATCTTTGAGAATTTGCTCCGCTTTAATTGCCTAGATGTTAGCTACTTAGCTACTTTTGTAAGGTTAGCTTCTCAGGGAGAGTTGAATGCGTATTATCAATGACAATATTGACCACCTAATTATCAGGGATGCGGAACTGACATCTACCTTCCGCCCATCGGAATCGATCTAAGAACTGCTCCACTAATTTATCCGACTTCTGCCGCAAGCCGGTGAAGTCTATAACTGTCATCTCTGGCAGCAGTGGAGTGACCCTAGAGTAGAGGAAGCTCCCTTTGAGAAGAAACTCTCTTTCGAAAGTGAGATCACCACCGGAGCATTCTCTACCATAGAATTCGGCCTTTGGTGTCAACCAAGCGGCTTCTACGAGGAAGGCGGCCCAAAGGGACTGTAGAACCGCTCAAGGAATGTGCGTTCTAACTCCACCCAATTGTGCAACGAGTTGGGACGTAAGGAAGCGTATCAATTAAATGCCGGTCCCGTTAGTGACAAGGAAAATAGCTATAGCTTGAACTTTTCATTGTTGCCAAAATCTTCGTTGCATTGAGCTGTAAATCGGCTTACATGCTTAATGATGGATTTGGAGTACTCCTATAAAAATAGAGAAATATCCGGCATGCGGGCATTCATTGGTAGCGGAGTTTACTCAACAACTCGATCAGGGAATGGCCACTGATATTGCGGCCTGGCTGGCATCCGCAAAGGATCACCATACTCTTCACACTACTTCTTCCAAGGCTTCTAGATCCACTAGCAGATTTCGTTGGATATTCTCCTATTGCACCGGGTTCGGTAGAATTTGCTGAAGTGGATCTGCAATTGGGTGTTCCTCCCAGATGGATTGAAGGCCTTGAAACGCCTGTCCTCCGCCGGAGGCGGCAGGTTTTGCTGGACTGGCCTTCTCATGGGCGGCTTCTGTCGTGGCACTTCCTGGGTGGCAACTGGTGGTGCTCCGGTAAACCGAATGGTTGGAATCAGCCTCTTCATCTGAATCCATTGGGGGGAATTTGGGCTGATGTTCCCGGATGCATGTGGTGGCAATGCATAGGGTGGCTGATTCCAAGAATTCGAACTCCCTGCTAGTCCTCGCAGAACCGATGAGGTTGTGTTTCCCCCGTACTTGTAAAAATCCGCCTCTTGCTCAACAGCCTATCCTGCCCCCAAGCGGGTTGGCTGGACTGATGGGCAAAACCAACAGAAAATTCAACCCCCTAATGACGACATACTTGTGGAAATGCTCGCCGTATCCCTATCTTACGAAAGGATAGAGATATGGCCATATTGAAATTGAAGAGAAGATGGATTGGTTACCTGGTATGGTTGGTATAACAAGGAATCTCTTCTTCTCTTTGGGCTTTTCCTCTAATTTACATTTTTGGGCACAACAGGTTTGTTTGGACATTCCCATTCTCTAGAACCAATATCCTCCTTCACTAAGATAAATTGAAAATTTAGAATTACTAAGATAAACTGTTTTTTCTTCCACATGGAAGTGGGTGATGCTTTTCTTACATCTTGAATGTGTTGGTAATGGTTTCTCTTTTTGTTCTGGCTGCTCAGTTATGTTAATTATATTTTGTGTTGTAATACATTTTCGTTTTCATTGCTTTTGCAGACCTTGTTCTGAAAGATAAGATTGTGGTATATGATTTGGGTGCGCAAAGGATTGGATGGGTGAATTATGACTGTAAGTATCAATTTGGTGAATATAATGCAAATTTTTGTTGAGAAATAGGAATGCTAAGGTTACAATAAGAAAACTCCTTACCTATTACTTTTTTTTTTATTTTATATTATACTACAAATCTATTTACATTCACAACATCACATCAACATCTATTTATATCGCATCAACCAACTATTCAAAAATCAAAAATATTTTTTTTTCTTTTTCATGAAACCAACTAAACGTAAACACTTGGCTCTCATAAACATATTTTACCATTCTCTTTTCACACTTTCGCTTCTTACTCACAAATTGATAATTCTCTTTGATGTATTTACTTCATGAAAGACTTGATTGTAAGCATTATATAAGCATTATTTACTTCAATGAGAGATGAGCGCTGAAGATCAACTTCTCTAAGAAGATTCTTCAATGGTTCCATACTTAGATTCTGCCTTAGAACATATCACCATAATTTGTTTCTTGCTCTAAGATATATGCTATAACCTGAAGTTGGCTTCGACCATAAGTTCCTGACCAATTTGCATCTGCATGCACTTGAAGTTGAATATGATTGTGTCCTATATGACTTTATCACGAACCTCAATTTGATTTGAGAAATTAGATAATTTGATTTTTCAACAAATATTTGAGTCCTTCACAGAATTTTCAAGCTTAATGTCTTGTATAGATAGTCTCCTGTTTATTCACTGTAACGAAAAGTTATTTTTGTTTTAAGCTGAGGAAGATACAAGTTGTGAATTGCTACTAAGCAATAAACAGATAACTGGAAGTCATTTTTACAACAGAAGAAAAGGTTTTGATATAATTCATTACGTAGACTTGTTTAACTTTTAGCTACAACTCAAGCCTTCAAATGATCAAGTGTGCCATGATGATTAAATTTTACAGTAACTATACAGCAACATCTGATAATCAGATGATCAGGCAGAGGAGATACGAGATATCAATTATCATTGGCTTTTATAATAGACATTCTTTCCATAACGTAACACCGAGGTGATCCAAAGCTTCTAAGACCATGTTGGGAATATAGGAAAAGGAAGTCAAAGGACACACATGTAGTCGATCATAAGAGGCAAGATTTGAAATAGGATGAGAGGTGCATGACCTGCAGCCTTGCTAGTAGCAATGAACAAACCAAGTTCATTTCCTATTTGAGATGAGGACATTGAAGACAAGCCCTATGAGACTAAACTTGAGAATTATGATGAGATAATAGATAGATCAACGTTAGGACTAGGATAAATGCGGGGGACACTAGAGGTAGAGTGTGAGCACAAACTAAGAATTGGGTAAGTTATCAGAATTGAGTGTTGATGAAATTTTCCCCAAGGAGGTGAATTTGTGGAGATAGAAGTACCCAAGAAAAGACATTTCATTGTTTTGGATGTTTTGGGGTGTTTGAGATTTGATTTTCTTGAATGTAAAATAGATGTTAGATGTGTTGTAGGAAAGAAAAATGAGTTTTAGATGTGATGCTTTGAATGAAAGATAAATGTTCAATTTCATTTTTAGGGGAAAAAATATTGCACCGATACCAAGAGGACAAGAGGATTAATGCTGGATGCAATGTTGGTCAAGGTGATTCTATCTGATAAGCATTCTCTAGCATTGTGACTACAAAGTTTATGAATGCAGCAATCGAATTAATTGTGAGTGAATTGTAGCACAAAAAAAAAAAAAAAAAAAAAAAAAAGATCAAGAACTTTACTAGCAAAAAATTGGACAGATCAATCTTAGTTGACAGGTTAACTTACAAAACATAAGGATTGAAAGAAAATTTAGCATGAACAATGTTGGTTGAGTCAGTGAAGCAGCAGGGGGAGAATTACCAACATCTTGAGTGGTAGCAGCGGATCCATCCGAAATGTAAGGTTATTATAATGAGAGTGGTGCAAAGGAGAGATTTGAGTGAACAAGTCCTTATATGAAACATAATTGGTATTTCTAAAATTTAGGTTGTGTTTAGATATATTCCAGAAGTATTTTGGGAACAGTAAAATGTTAAATAACAATAGGTATTTGATGTGATGTAAATGTTTTGTATCGAAAATAGATTTTGATAGGTATTTGATGTTATGTATTTTGAAATTTTTTTGTTGATAAATAGTATCAAAAGTGATTTGAAAACATAAGCCTAATATCCAAGGGTAGTTAAAAATAGACGTGCAACAAGTTGGGGTTACTTTGATGGACTACTAACACGATAGAAGATTATTTTTGCTTAGGATACACAAATTCCGGAAACTTAAAAGTGTATTCTTCCAAAGAAAGGGTGATAGGCTGTTGTGGTTGTTGAGCTGATGGTTATGAGGAAGTAGCCGATGTGAGCCATCCAAAAGGTGAGAATACTTGTCGTGGCATGTCCTTTCCTCATGAATGTCCTTATTGCAATGAGTATAGTGAAGTCCTGTCCCCCTACCATGACCACATTGTCCATCAAATTTGTGAATTACATCACATTATGAGTGCAGACTTATCAAAACCTAATATACCTTCAACCAATGATGGCAGATCTGCATTGCCAAGGATTTTTGCATTTCCTTGACATCTGAAGAGATGGGAAAGCAGAAAAACATGTTCAACAGATGTCCCACATACACAACATGTTCTTGTAATAATGAAGTTTGGCATAATTCCAAGCCTGCTTGCGTGTATTGACATGAGAGAATAAGCGTTAAATATCAGGGTCCATACAACCGAGCAGGAGATGTAGTAATTGAACATCATAGGCTTGCTAATTTTAGAAGAACAATTCGATGTTCTTGAACCACAAATGAGTAGTTCTCATTCAAACAGTTTTCTGTAATCCTCTGATGTTAATCTAAGTTGAAGACACTGTAGGGGATGTGTTTTTCGTTCTCTGAAGTGGAGACAGAAACGCGATCGATTGAACGAAGTGGTAGAAAATTTGGTAGGTTCCAATCAATTTAAAAATGAAACGACACCATAATTGGAATCACCATGAAAAACCTAGGCTCCCTTACGCAACGTTTTTTGATGAAATGATTTTTAGTGTGATATGGAAAATTGTGTCAAAAATATAAAATATATTATTTTAGGTTGAATATTTGACTTTTTGACCTTTTATAATGAGTATTTTGACTTATGTAAAAATATTATACTACCTCCGTCCGGCTCTAAGGGTCCCATTTACTTTTTGCGTGTTCATCTTTGAATATTAATTATTAT